CAATCGCCTTGCTTAGCAACGGAACCTCTGGTCCCAATTGTGGTCGTAAGTGGAGGATTCCCTGTACATATCTCCTTTCCCATCTGGAAGGAGTCTGTTTGTGGCATAGGGGCATGATCAGAAAAATTGCGACAGCTATTTTCTAGAAATGACACGGCCATACCTTTGGGTGTCAAACGTCCAGTTTCTCCTCTGTTGCTCAGAAGTTTTCTGTAGACCTAAAATTAAATATAGGAGACACTCTGGTAGACTGAAATCCATTGAGGTTAAAGGAAGATTTACCTACATAATTCTTGGCTCTCCAAATGCTTTAGGCATCCCTGGCCCCAATCCTGATTGCTTGCAAAACAGGATGATTAAACCACCATGCTCAGCGAGCACCCAGGACTCCACGGTTCAAATATGAAGCTACAAATATTCTCTTCTATAGGATGATTAAAAGCTGGTTCTTTGAGGTTGGCCCTTGTGGCCGAAGAGCCTTGGTGGCGCAGCAGACTAAAGTGCTATTAAGCAGCACCAGCTGCCTGCAATTACTGCAAGTTCAAATCTCACCAGGCTCAAGGTTGACTCAGCCTTCCATCCTTTCGAGGTAGGTAAAATGAGAACCTGGTTTGTGGGGGCAATAAGGTGACTTTGTATAAAAAAAGAACACCGCTTGGGGGGGGGGGCCCGAAAGCCCTACTAAACAGGTATATACAAAAGTATGAAGGCTATTGCCTAACGCATTGTAAGCCACCCTGAGTCTCCGGAGAAAGGGCGGCATATAAATCGAACCAATAAATAAAGCAATAAATATATAAATGCATTTTCAGACATGCAAGAATTGCAAACACAATCACAACAGGACAATAGCTTTCTGATATTTGTGTTGTGGGGGGGAATCCACCCAGCAAGGTCTCTATAAAGTTGGACTAGATGACCTCCAAAGTCCCTTCCAACTCTGTTAATCTGTTAAAAGTGATAAGGTGGTTTGAGATGCAAGACTTGTTCCTAACATCCAACGTTAATCCTAGCTTGTTGGCATAAAAAAGGCCGGCTGAATCCTGGGGCTGAATCCTCTACCACGCCTGCTTTGTCTCTTCCACCAAAATTAGGAGTCTTAAGGCAAAGGATCCCCAGATCACATTCGTCTTCTTCTTTCCACACCCAAATATTCCAATTTCACTGGCTCTCTCAAAGTTAAGTCCCAAAGTTAAGGCGTTCCATCACACTCACGTTCTCTTATCCAGCTACGGCGGCGAGATTCGGATCCAGCTGGCGCTCCTATGAAAAGCAGGACATTTATACGTGGCCGAAGACTTGCTAACATTAAAAAAAAAACGACAAGCAAAGTCCCATCCAAAATGATGGCCCACCTTCTCCCAAACGGCACATCCCCCTTTCCTGTTCAAAGTCTAAGCAAACAGGATCAGGATCCCATGTTATGACACGGGAAAACCAAACTTAGCAATGATCTTTGAAGCGCGATGGAGGAATCTGGAAGGATATCCGTTCTAATTAAAGGCACCCTTTTGGGGATCTGATCAAAAGAACAGCCACCTATCAGGGGTGGAACTGCCACTTGGATTGATTGCCTGCCATCAAGTGGTTGATCCTTAGAGACTACCTAGATTGATCTTCTCTGGGTAGATAGAAAATAGAATAACAGAGTTGGAAGGGACCTTGGAGGTCTTCTAGTCCAACCCCCTGCTTAGGCAGGAAACTCTACACCACTTCAGACAAAATGGTTATCCAACATCTTCTTAAAAACTTCCAGTGTTGGAGCATTCACAACTTCTGCAGACAATTAATCCACTGATTAATTGTTCTCACTGTCAGGAAATTTCTCCTTAGTTCCAGGTTGCTTCTCTCCTTCTTACTTCTTGTCCTGCCCTCAGGTGCTTTGGAGAATAGGTTGACCCCCTCTTCTTTGCAGCAGCCCCCGAGATATTGGAAGACTGCTATCATGTTTCCCCTGGTCCTTCTTTTCATCAAACTAGACATACCCAGTTCCTGCCAACTCTTCTTCATATATTTTAGCCTCCAGTCCCCTCATCATCTTGGTTGCTCTTCTCTGCACTCTTTCTAGAGTCTCAATATCCTTTTTACATCATGGCGACCAAAACTGGATGCCGTATTCCAAGTGTGACCTTACCAAGTTCTTATAAAGTGGTATTAACACTGGTGATGTGGAGCCTCAACTTACGACCGCATTGATTGATGACAGGAATTCTGGAACCAACTGTGGTCGTAAGTTGAGGACTACCCAATTTCTGGTCATAAATTGAGGTCGTACGTTGGGGTCATACGTTGAGGTTGTTGGGGACTTCTCAAAGATGAGGCCCTTCTGAATTCGGGAGAGATTTGGCAAACGTGGAAGTCAGGAAGAAACGGTCTCTTGTCACCCTTCTTTGTCGTAGCGAAGAATAATAATTATTATAATTATTGTAATGTTAAATATTGTAATATCCTCGACATGAGGATATTACAATATCCTTTATTGAATTATTTTAAAACTATTTTAACTTTTGTGTACAAATGTTTTATTTTTGGCTGTTCACTGCCCTGAGTCCGAAAAGAGAAGGGCGGTATAGAAATTTAAATAATAAATAAATAAATAAATAAATAAATAAATAAATAAATAAATAAATAAATAAATAACCCCAATGATTTATGGAATTCCAGTCCCAGTTGTGACTGGGGAGTACCTCTAATAGGGTTTCCTGACTAAGCAGGGGGTTGGATTAAATGACCTCCAAGGTCCCTTCCAACTCTGGAAGAAGCATTAAAAGAGGCCATTTCTTCCCAACGTCCATGTTTCCCGGATCTCTCCCGCGTTCAGAAGGACCTTGCCTATGAAAAGTCCCCAGCAGCAGAACTTTGGAGCAACTATTACGGGTCCAAAGGAATATTTACTCAAGCATCCAACGTGTTGAGTAGACAGAAGTTAGAGAGACAAGGACAGTTTGCTTAAAACTTAAGCAATATTTGCTCCTGGTCACTGATCAACCCGCTGTATCTGAAGGAGGCCTTCAAAAATGCCTTCTAAGACCAGCTGAAGCAAGAATCCTTGTTTGAATGGGGTTAGAATTAGAATAACAGAGTTGGAAGGGACCTCGGAGGTCTTCTAGTCCAACCCCCTGCTTAGGCAGGAAACCCTACACCACGGGTTACGGAAAGCCAGAGACATACTTCCATTTCCGGAAAGAAAGTGTGCTTGGAATTAGGTGTAGGATACAAGACATCCTCCGGGAAAGGTTGAGAATCTAAGCCAGAGGTCTGCAACCTTAAACACTCAAAGAGCCATTTGGACCCGTTTTCCCACAGAAAAGAAAACACCGGGAGCCACAGAAACCCTTCCCGTGCCTGACTATTTCCACAAAACTAGCATATATAGTAGAATTAAATGTTCAGGAGATTCACTTTGTAACTGTTTACTTACTTAACAACCACACTGATTCACTGAACAACTGCGACAAGAAAGGTCATAAAACGGGGAAAACTTAACAGCTGTCTTGCTGAGCAACAGGGCTCAATTGCAGTCATAAGTTGAGGACTGCCTGTAAGCATTTATTTGAAAAGTCACTTCATCCGTTTTTCTTGTAGGGCAAGAAGGAAATGTGACATGTATTTGTGAATGCACTAAAAATCAAATTTGGGCCTTGATCTTGGGGGAAAATACTACCACTACTACTACTACTACTACTACTACTAATAATAATAATAATAATAATAATAATAATAATACCACTACTATTGGTATTAGTAATACTACTATTACTAATACCACTAATACCACTACTACTACTACTACAACTACTACTACTACTACCACTACTACTACTACTACTACTAATAATAATAGATGGCCAACGCAGGAAAAAAGAAAAAAAACTTGAAAATCTAAAGGGGGTAACAGTTAAAATCCTAATTGTACCATCCTGATATTTGTTGACGACATTTTAGAAAGAAATGATTTACAAATGACTCGTTTCTCCTACTTAATTTTTTTCTCTTTATTTACGTCTAACAACCATTGGTTGGAAGTAACAACAGCCGTAGACAAAGAAAGCAGAACATGAAAGTCGGGAAAAAAGATGTTTCTTTTTTCACTGCTACAGTTGGGATTACACGACCCTCTTTCTCTATCGCTCGTGGAATGGAGGGAACATTCAGTCGGATCCGTCTTGGGAGGTCATGGGTTCAAACTTTTTCTTCAACTTCTGGAAAGTCTCGGAAAGCCATTTCCTGCCAAAGACAAGAGAAATGGTGAGTGATCTGGCCATCTCCAAAGCTCCCAAGCTCTTGTAATGTGAGAAAGACCTTGGGAGACTAGGTTCAGAGGTGGTATTCAGCCGGTTCAGACCGGTTTGGGCGAACCGGTAGTGGCGAGCCCGGGCACAATCCCATTCCTATATCGCTGTGTTTTTGATGTTGCATGCGTTTGTGGGCGGCGCACACGAGCGAATTGCTGCGGTTTGTGACATCACATGCTCACATTTCCGGTCCTGGGCGAACCGATAGTAACAGTAAGTGAATCCCACCTCTGACTAGGTTAAGAGATGCTGCCAAGGAAACAGTCAGATAAGGGACAGCCTAGCCCTCAGCTGCACAATGGGCGAAGGAAGAGCTCAGAAAGGACCTTCCCGAGTTGTTTCCATGGTAAAGGAGACCGGGAGAAAATCGTACTTTCAGACTGGCAAGATCAGGGGTGTCAAACTCAAATTTATTGAGGGCCACATCAGGGTTGTGTTTGACCTTGGGGGGGGGCGGTGTGTGTGTGTAGCCGGGGGCATGGTCAGGGTGGGCATGGCCAGCTCAACATCACTCATCAAGGCTCTGTTTTTGGCTGCGACGGCCTCCTGCAGCACTTTGCCAGAGAAAATGGAACTCAGAGAGGCTGCGCGTGGCCCGCCTGGGCTCCGGTTTTGCTGGCAGAGGGCTGTTACAGCTGAAAACGGAGACCGGACGGCTCGTGTGCGGCCTCCCCAAGGTCCATTTTCTTTGGCAGAGGGCTGCAGGAGGCCATCGCGGCTGAAAATGGAGCCTTGATGAATGACGTCAAGCTGGCCACACCCACCCTGACCACACCTCGAGCTCCGTTTTCGCTGGCAGAGGCACCGTGGTCTGGTCCTTCGCTGTTTCCAGGGTGGGCCCGTGGGCCAGATCTAAGCCCCCCGCAGGCCAAATCCAACCCCCAGGCCTTGAGTTTGACACCCCTCGGCAAGATCATGTGGTTAAAGACGTTGAGCTCGTCCGATGAAAAGCTGACAGCCTTGGGTTTGAGACCTGCGCTCTGTACGACCGGGTGAGCTCCCGTCCTTGCCTCAGCTCCTGCTCACCTAGCAGTTCGAAAGCATGCCAAGGCGAGTAGATCAATAGGTACCACTTCAGTGGGAAGGTAACAGCTGTTGAGTGAATCTCGCTTTCCCGTTGGATTTTACTTGTCAAAAAGGGAATCACGTGACCCCCGGGACACTGCAACCGTCATAAATACATGCCAGTTGCCAAGTATCCGAATTCTGATCATGTGACCATGGGGATGCGGCAACGGCCATAAGTGTGAAAGTTGCTTTTTTCAGGGCCCTTGTAACTTTGAAGGGTCACTAGATGAGCTATTGTAAGTCAAGGAGTACCTGTCGATTCTCAAACACGGCTCTTTTCCATCATCCTGTTCTGCCACTGGTTCTGCGGCTTCCAAAAATATTTTTCACCTTGGACTTAAGGCTTCCCCGCTTCACGCTCATTCATAGAGAGTCCGTATCGCTTAAGACACCATTCTAGGAGAGGTGTTTCAAATCACAGATATGCTAATTCAGGAACCTGTTTGGCGGTTTCGCTGAGCCTCCAGCAAGAATTTCAGATGATTACAGTCGGTTGCATGCCAAAATCTGACTGGCATTCCTTGGGCAGGGATTTAGAAAGCACCTGCCGTGGGCACCTAAGAGGCTATCATAGAATCATAGGGTTTGGAGGCAGGACTGTCTCTGTGTGGTGGAATGCTGTCTGGATTCCCAGCAGGGAGGGGCTGGAGCAAAGAGAGCAAAGAGGCAGCAGAGGAAACTAGCTAAGTTAATCAGAGTAGAGCTGGAAGGGACTTTAGAGGTCTTCTAGTCCAACCCCGTGCTATACCATGTCACCTAGCACTGATTGATGATGTTCCCTAGTTCGGGTGATGAATCCTTTGCAAGACAACAACTGAGCTCAGACAGCACAAAGGACCCCTCAAACAAACTCGCCCCCCCACGCCCCCCACCCCGGGGTCCTTCTCCCCCATAGGATCTTCTCGATGGAGCCCTCTCAGTCTGCTCTGTATCTCCATCTAGTGGTGGCTGCCGCATCTGTCAGGCTCCTCTGCTTATACTGTAAACCTAAATAGAAATTTGCTTTTTTTTTTTTGCTAATCTAGGTAGCTGATATTCCCTTTTCAGCTTTCAGGCCGTCACTTTCTGGTTGATGGAGGAAACAAGCTCAGTTCCGGAAAGTCAAACTTTTTGCCAGCTGATCCCTCCCCCCCCCCAAATATTTTGCACCCTTTTAGCTCTGCTTATGCCTCTCAGACGTCAGCTGTTCGCTGATGGAAAGCTGATCTCGATCAGGAAGTCTCTCCGTTCGTAAAAAACAAAAAAGGGGGTGTGTGATAATTTAAGAAGTCACAAGGGGATGAAAAATCAGACTGGCAAGACAGTCTTTGAAGCAAAACCCCAGGAAAATCTTTAATCCTGGAAAGAGTTTCATCGTTGAGATCACACAGAGAGAGAATGTAAGAAAGGAATGGTGGCTTTGCAGGCAGGGAACTCCCCCCCCCATATCAAATGCTTGGATTTTTTTTTTTCAATAAATGCCCAGATCAGGCAAATACACCAACATATAAGTCATAGGTTGTTGCAAAGTGGGTGGGGTGGGGGGGTCAGATGATGTCACCTGCATCATGACCTCTTCAGGCTAATGGATGGAAATCACCTACTGCTCCTCCTTTACATCATAGCTGAATTGGTCCACGTGGCTTAATTCCTGCTGTTTGCACAATGATGTCGTAACGCTTGGGATGTCGTTGTGGCTTCTTTCAACAATATGGATGGGAAGGGAGCATTTAATTATTAATTTTACTTCTGTTATGGGATGAGAGTGAGGTATGTATAGTTGGCAGAGGCAGGCACAGATCAAAGAATGAATCAGGAGAGGATCAGAATTGGGTGGCTGCGGATGTTCCTGCTTTTCCAGGGTTTCAAAATTGGCAGAAGTGAGGAAGAGCTTGCAGAACAACTTCCAAAAACTGAATGATGAAAGACCAGGATATGGAAACAGAGTGAAAACAATTCTGGGGAACTGTCTCCAGATTTATGAAGGAGAAGTTTGATGCTAAATATTAAGATGGGCTTCCTTTGGCTGATGTTCTCCAGATGTTGGGGTCTTCTGGAGAATCCAACTTCTCCTCCTCCTCCTCCTCCTCTTCCTTCTTCTCCTCCTTCTCCTCCTCTTTCTCCTCCTCCTCCTCCTTCTTCTTCTCCTCCTCCTCTTCTTCTTTCTTCTTCTTCTTTTCTTCCTCCTCCTCTTCCTTCTTCTTCTTCTTCTCTTCCTCCTCCTCCTTCTCCTCCTCCTCCTCTTCCTTCTTCTTCTCCTTCTCCTTCTCCTTCTCCTTCTCCTTCTCCTTCTTCTTCTCCTCCTCCTCTTCCTTCTCCTCCTCCTCCTCCTCCTCTTCCTCCTCTTCCTTCTCCTCCTCCTCCTCCTCCTCCTCCTCCTCCTCCTCCTCCTTCTCCTTCTCCTTCTTCTTCTTCTCCTCCTCCTCCTCTTCCTTTTTCTTCTTCTCTTCCTCCTCCTCTTCCTTCTTCTTCTTCTTCTCCTCCTTCTCTTCCTTCTTCTTCTTCTCCTCCTCCTCTTCCTCCTCCTCCTTCTTCTCTCCTCCTCCTTCTTCTCTTCCTCCTCCTTCTTCTTTTACTTCTCCTCCTCCTCCTCTTCCTCCTTCTCCTCCTCTTCCTCCTCTTTCCTTCTTTCTTCTCCTCTGTGAATTCTCAGCCAAGATGGCTGCATCAAGGCCCCTCACCCTATCTTACTTCCCTCCTAATAGTTATAGTTGGAAGAATGTGAGCTAAAAACATTCACCTGGTTTTGTTGCTGAATTCGCTGTTGTGGAATTCAAGAAAAGCAGCTTTTGCCTTCTCCCCAAGGTTATCAACAAACGTCTGGACCTCCTTCTGATACTTCTCAAACTTCTGGGCCATGGTGGGCTCTTTCTCACCGTCTTCATTGGAGTCTTGGGGTAGATAAATTGAAAAAACAACCTTGTTACTTGCTTATACACAATGCTAAACCGACGCTTCATGTTGAGTTCATATAACAAACATTATATCCAAACAAATAAGCCGTGTTGTTAGGGCTTAATGTAATAACCTGGTTCACAGAACATGTTTTGTGAGGCATATCTGATGCCTCACAAAATACTGAAGCGCAAACTACCCAATTCTATTTAGCTTAGTCCGGCATGTTGTGTGAATCCAGCTATGTGTTAAGAAATTGACACAGGGTTCAATAAACTCAGAACAAATAATGGAGATTTTGGGTTGGAGTGCACAGATTTTTGCATCATGTATGATATTTATTTGTGCAACATTTGCCTATTTGAATACTTATAGAAGTATCTATAAGCATCTATCTATCTATCTATCTATCTATCTATCTATCTATCTATCTATCTATCTAATCTATTTATCATCATAATTTCTCTCTCAATCTAATCTGTCTGTCTTTCTGTCTCTCTCTCTCTGTCTCTCTCTCTATCATCCATTTATTATCTATCTATCTATCTATCTATCTATCTATCTATCTATCTATCTATCATCTATCTATCATCATAATCTCTGTCTCAATCTAATCTATCTGTTTTTCTGTCTGTCTCTCTCTCTGTGTCTCTCTCTCTCTATCATCCATTTATTATCTATCTATATCTATCTGTCTGTCTATTATCCATCCTTCATCCATATATTATCTATCTATCTATCTATCTATCTATCTATCTATCTATCTATCTATCTATTTATCATCCATTTATTATCTCTATCTATCATCCATCCATCATTCTATCTATCTATCTATCTATCTATCTATCTATCTATCTATCTATCTATCTATCCCCCAGAGTTCCTTGCTAGCAATCCCTCACAATGAAGGGGAAGGGGCCTGTTTTCTCCCCTGGTGAAAGCAATCCTATCCTTTCCCAGGTCTCACCTGTCACCACCGCAGACAAAGTCATCAGGAGGACCGCAACAGCCAACACCAGCTTCATGGTTGCACCTCCTGCTGGAGCAAAAAATAAAATCATTAATAAAAATAAAATACAGTAAAATAATAAAGCAAAATAAAATAAGGAAAAAGAATGGAATGGAATAGAAAATAATAGAGTAGAGTAGAGTAGAGTAGAGTAGAGTAGAGTAGAATAGAATAGAATAGAATAGAATAGAATAGAATAGAATAGAATAGAATAGAATAGAATAGAATAGAAATGATGGCCAGGCAGAATATAACCCTCCCCAGATTCAGATGTTCCTCTGATTACACAGATCAATCAAGGTCTGCAATTTCATTTTAGATTTCCAAAATTTGCAGCCAAAATTGAAGTCCCCAGATCTGAACTGAAGTCCGGTGTGCAAGGAAGAGAAAAATGCAGTGAAAAAAAGCAGAAAAATTGCAAAAGCTGGGTGTGTAAGCACCCTATGGGTAATTGACTAATAGTAATTAGCCAATTAGTAATTAGTAATTATATAATGATGTGGTATAACATCTTATATAAATAAGGTATTATTGATATCTTACATAAAGATCAGATTGTAAAATCTTCACGCGTTCCTCACTCAACAGACAGAACCACTTTCCAGGTCTCTGAGGGTGTCCAATATATAAGGGTGAAAAATCTCAGCTGCCTGATTGTGATTTGACTTTTTTGACCTCTCTAGACTTTCTTTCTAAGCTTTCGGCAGCCTTTGCTCTAGTGTCTTAACAAACCTTGCTTTCTGCTTCAGCAGAGGGAAGCATCCTAAAGAAGTGTGGGGAAATGCCATCTTCATGATGCAGGATCACAGAGTTGGAAGGGACCTTGGAGGTCTTCTAGTCCAACCCCCTGCTCAGGCAGGAGAGGAGACCCTCTACCAGTTCAGACAAACAGCTGTCCTATCTCTTCTTAGAAACTTCCAGTGTTGGAGCATTCACAACTTCTGGAGGCAAGTTGTTCCACTGGTTAATTTTTCTCACTGTCAGGAAATTTCTCGTTGGTTCCAGGTTGCTTCTCTCCTTGATTAGTTTCCATCCGTTGCTTCTTGTCCTGCCTTCTGGTGCTTTAGAAAATAGATCGACCCCCCCTCTTCAGAAATGTTTAATTTTTATTATCTTACTCTTGTTTTTAATTGTTTTAGTATTATACTTATTTATGGTTTTTATATTTTTAGAGTTACTTGTACATCACCCAAGGATGTACGGAGGGGATGGGCACTTCCTAAATATGATAAATTCATAGAATAAATAAAATAAAATGTGATCTTTATTGATTTTGGAAATGGCTTTGTCTCGTCTAAACAGGACGGTAGAGTCGCAGATGCTCCAGATGGTAGATTAAGTCATACATTAAAGGATTGAACCAATTCTCTATTAATATTTTTGTGGATATCGTTTAATCTCTTGAAAGATAAATCATTTTAATCACGCTTCCGTTTCATTTTATACAGGCAAAACATTTTCTTTTAACAACTTAGTTTAATTTAATTTAATTTAAATCTCATTTGTTAACAAAATACATTTTGCTGGTGAAGTAAAAAAAAATCTACAGGAGAGTTAAACGTTATATTTCACTTAAAATTAAATTTTCATTTCATTTCATTCAAATTCATTACAATTTGGGGAGTGGGTGTTGTTCACTAATTTAAAAAAAAACACATATATTCAACAAGGCAAGAAATCACAGGTGTCAAACCCGAGTGACAAACTTCCCCGAGACGAAATAGCAGCAAACATGGGAAAAATCTCTTTTTACATTTTAAAGCCACCGAGGTTGCTACTGTCAAAATCCGAACGCTTTCAATCCTTAATTCCGATCGCCCCCGTAACACGTTTTCCATAAATCCCCCGTGCCGATTCTTGTTTGGCATTTAATTAAGCCAAACATCTAATTATTTTAAAATGATAAAGAAATGTTTGTTTTTTTTTAGCTGAATGATTTGATGGGAACATCCTTCCCTCTCCCTGATAACCAAAGTTGATCTTAAAAGTCTTTCCCAACTCTCTTCGTTGCCGTTTACTTACTTGTAGCTGTGAGTGGAGACAATATCCCTGGGTGGAATTTGCAGGTCCATCCAGTTGCTGTTCCCTATAAACCTGCCCTCAGCCTCCGTCATCGCACCCCCCACCCCCCACCTCCGGCAAGGATAAAATCTGACCTGATGTTTTTTTTAATCTCCTCCCTGCGATTAGATTGCTTCATTTCTGCAGGAAATGAAACATTAGACAGAGATGGATTCCGGTGTTTTGTTGTTTTTTTCCCCCTTCCCTTCCCTTATGTGTGCCATCCAGTTTTTTCTGCTTGGAAAAATACCTAAGGCAGAAAAAGAAAAAAAGAAAAAAGGGAAGGGAAGGGAAGGAAGAAGGAATTAAAAACAGGAACAGAGAAATAATATTTCCCCAATCGTTCGCAGATTGAGCAACTTTGGGAAAATGGGAAAAAGTTCCCGCTTTCTCTGTTGGTGAGAGTCAACCCACCTTTCAAAGATCTGTAAGCGATAAGATAGAAAAGTGTTAGCATTTTTTTTTTTTTAGAAATAAAAAAAACAGACCGTGAGTCATAAGAAAGAGACACCTTATCTTTAACATTCAGAGGGACCGACCGATCCAGGGGAAGGCAGGACCTGAACTTCCAAACAGAATGAATTATAAGAAAATATAAATGATAAAAAGTAGAATATAAAACATCTTCTTGAGTCGTCCCGAAGATGCTGACTCTAAACCAGCCCGATTGCGGATTGCGGATTTCTTTTTTTTAGATGTCTAGAAAAGCAAGCAGATTTTTTTAAAAAAACTTTGGATATATTAAAGCAAGCAGATGCTTTTGTGTTCTCTGGTTGCCCTAAAAATGCAAGTACCCACAAACAAGGCAGAGGGGCTGTTTGGCTTGGAGTTTTCCTTTTTGTTTAACGCCATTTAATTCTCTATCAAGTGTTTTCAGAGACACTCCGATTTATTAAGCAATGGTTCCCAGAGCCCGCTTAACTATGCCAAGAACAGGGAACTGGGAACTGGGAGAAAGGGAAACGGGAAGCTATTGTGAGCACCGAGTAAAAGCCGAGAGCTTCTGCATGCTGAGTATCTTGGAAGGGGTTCAAGAGGCATTTGGACCACCAAAAGCCCCACCTTCAAAACTTTATATTGCCACCTTTTCTTTTCTTTTCAAAGGAGGCCTTAGTGAGCGTCGAGAACCTTCTCTGTTTGATAGAATAGAACATTTTTCCCCCATTGGATACACACTTCATAAAGCCGTATTTTTCAATCTTGGCCTCTTTAAGATGGATGGAGTTCCAACTCCCAGAATTGGCTGGCTGGGGAATTCTGGGAGTCGATGTCCACCTTCCATGTTTCTCAATCTGGCCAAGGTTGAGAAACATAGAGAAGAGAAGAGAAGAGAAGAGAAGAGAAGAGAAGAGAAGAGAAGGAAAAGAAGGGAAGACAGAAGGAAGGAAGGAAAAGAAAAAAGGAAGGAAAAGGGAAAGAGAAAAGGAAGGAAGGGAAAGAGAAGAGAAGAAGGAAGGAAGGAAAACAGAAAAGGAAGGAAAAGGAAAGAGAAAAGGAAGGAAGGAAAAGAGAAGAGAAGAGGAAGGAAGGAAGGAAGAAAACAGAAAAGGAAGGAAAAGGAAAGAGAAAAGGAAGGAAGGAAAAGAGAAGAGAAGAGGAAGGAAGGAAGGAAAGAAAAGAGAAAAGGAAGGAAGGAGAAGAGAAGAGAAGAGAAGGAAAAGAAGGGAAGACGGAAGGAAGGAAGGAAAAGAGAAGAGAAGAAGAAGGAAGGAAGGAAAGAAAAAAAAAAGGAACGAAGGAAGGAGAGGGGAAGGAAGGAAGGGGAAGAGGGTGGGGAAAAAGAAGGTGAAAGAAAAGAAAAAAAACAGAAAAGGAAGGAAGGAAGGGAAAGAAAAGAGAAAACAAAGGGAAGAAGGGGGAAAGAGGAAGGAGAAGAAGGAGAAGAGAAAAGGGAAAAGAGAAAAGAGAAAAGAGGAGGAGGAGGAGGAAGAACAGGAACTCACCGCCCACATGATTTTCAGAGGAAGGAAAATCTGATTGCAGAAAGCAAAACCTTTACTTAATGAGGAGAAACTATACAATGAAATACATTTTAAGCATCCGGACAGGTTGGATGAGTGTTGCCAAAGACAGACGGAGCACCTTTTCCAGCTTTTCAGCACTTGTACTGACAGGTTTCGGTTCCTGACGTCATGAGAACTAAGCGTGTTCTAAACATGTTTCTAAAGTTGCCAGCATAAGATGGCTTCTCCCTTTCCACCTGAGGTCCTTGTTTGGATAGTGTCATACATGACCATCTGTGGCAGTGTTTCTCAACCTTGGAAGCTTGAAGATGGGTGGACTTCAACTCCCAGAATCCCCCAGCCAGCGTTGCTGAACCTATGAACCCTATGGTTAGCGTTGCTGGCTGGGGGATTCTGGGAGTTGAAGTCCACCCATCTTCAAGCTACCAAGGTTGAGAAACACTGATCTATGGGAACTCTACCAATTCACAAAAATAAAAAATAATGACTTCTTATAGTTGGCTGAGGAATTCTGGGAGTTGAAGTCCACAAGTTGTAAAGTTGCCAAGTTTGGAGATCCCGGACTTATTAGACTTTAGATGGTCTATGAAGGGGGGAATGGGGGACACCCCAAAAGTCAAGAAGCCCTAGAAAAAGAGTTGGACTCTTATTCCAAGGTCATTGGAGTGTGTCTCTCATCACTCCCAGCCCTGCTGTCTGGAGTGGGTGATGGGTGCTGTAGTTTGAGCTGACTTAAGAGTTTCACCCAAGAAATACATAGCACCCTAAAATGTGAGCCAGGCTGAGTTATGGAAGAGAGCCCGAAGCCGTCTCTTCAGCTCTGTAGGGACAGGCCCACCGTTAAGCAGAGGGAGCTCCATTTTACAACCATTCTTGCCGTGGTCCTTAAGCGAATCCCTGCAAGGTTGTTAAGTGAATTTGGGTTTCCCGTTGACTTGGCTTGAGAGAAAGTCGCAAAAGAAGGAGGAGGAGGAAGGGAGAAGGAAGGAAGGAAGGGAGGGAGGGGAAAAAAGAGGGAGGGAGGGGAGGAAGGAAGAAGATGAAAAGGGAAGGAGGGGAGGAAGGAAGGAAGGAAAGAAGAAGAAAAGGAAAGAAGGAAGGTGAAAAGGGAGGAAGGGAGAAAGGAAGAAGGTGAAAAGGAAGGGAGGGGAGGGAGGAAGAAAGGAAGGAAGGAGAAAAGGAAAGAAGGAAGGTGAAAAGGGAGGAAGGGAGAAAGGAAGGAAGGTGAAAAGGAAGGGAGGGAGGGAGGAAAAGGAGGGAGGGAAGGAAGAAAGAAGGTGAAAAGGGAGAAAGGAAGGAAGGTGAAAAGGAAGGGAGGGGAGGGAGGAAGAAAGGAAGGAAGGAGAAAAGGAAAGAAGGAAGGTGAAAAGGGAGGAAGGGAGAAAGGAAGGAAGGTGAAAAGGGAGGAAGGGAGAAAGGAAGGAAGGGTGAAAAGGAAGGGAGGGAGGGAGGAAAAGGAGGGAGGGAAGGAAGGAAGAAGGTGAAAAGGAAGGAAAGGAGGGAGGGAGGGAAGGAAGGAAAGAAGTAAGGAAGGGAGGGAGGGAAAACAGTAAGTGATCACATGACCCCAGGACACTGCAACCATCATAAATAGGAGCCAGTTATATCCAAGTTTTGATCATGTGACCACGGGAGATGGATGCTGGAACGGCCATAAGTGTGAAAAATGGTCCCGACGAGTCCCTTTTTTCAGTGCCATCGTAAGTACGAATGGCCACTAAAGAAACGGTCGTAAGCGGAGGACCGTCTGTGCTTCTTTGGCGCGAAGGACCTCGTCGTGTCGGTTCCAGGAGGGTGCCGGATTAGAATCGGGAGCCTTGTTCTGCTTTGCTGCAGAGGGAGAAGCGAGGGGGCCATTCCTGGGAAACTCTGAGTGCGGTTGGCCCTACGTGGGAATCACCCGGTGGCCCCGTTTCCACCGGCCTTGTGCAACCCCCGCGGACTGAATGGCGGCCCTTGAGTTTCCTGCACACGAAGCGCCACGGAACAAACCGTCCGACCCCACAATGCGCCTTTTCTCCTCGGGTTGAGGCCTGGCCGCCCCCCACCCCCGTCCTCCCCCCACCCCCGCATTGGGGGAAGGAGGAGTTGAGGGAGTTTATTTGCGTTCATGGGGAAGGCTTTGGGTTTGGGCTGGGATCCTCTCCTTCCCACTGGCGGAGGTTGAACGCTGGTAACCTTCTCCCTGGAGGGATCCTGCGGGATTTCTTTTATCTGGAGGGCTGCCACCTCCTGCTCAGAGAAACAGGCTGGGTTAAGGAATCTTTTGTTCTCCCTCCCCTCCCTCTCTCCCTCCCTGGACTCTTTGCATTGTGGATTCTTTTTTCTTTTCTTTTCTTTTCTTTTCTTTTCTTTTCTTCTTTTCTTCTTTTCTCTTCTCTCTTCCCTTTTCTTCCTTCCTCCCTCCCTCCCTTTTTCTGTCTTTCTTTCTTTCTTCCTTCCCTCCCTTCCTCCATCCCTCCCCCTCCTTCCCTCCCTTTCGCTTTCTTTCTTTCTTTTCTTTCTTTCTTTCTTTCTCTTTCTTCCTTCTTTACTTCCTTCCTTCCCTCCTCCTTCCTTCATTTCTTTCTTCTTTCCTCCCTTCCTCCTTCCCCCTCCCTCCCTCCCTTCTTTCCTTCCTTCCTCTCTTTTCTTTTCTTTTCTCTTTTCTTTTCTTTTCTTTTTTCTCTTCTCCTCTCTTCCCTTTTCTTTCTTCCTCCCTTCCTCCCTGCCTGCCTTTCTCTGTCTTTCTTTCTTTCTTCCCTCCCACCCTTCCTTCCTTCCTTCCTTCCTTCCTTCCTTCCTTCCTTCCTTCCTTTCTCTTCCTTCTTCCTCTTGTCTCCTCTCCTCTTCTCTCTCCTCCCTCCCTCTATGGAAACTTACTTTTCTTTTGTCCTTGAAAGAAAACAAAGAAAGAAATTTTCCACAGTAAAAGGAATGTGGGAGAAACTGGGTTTAAGATTTTAGGCTTAAGTACAAGTTATAAAGCACTAAAACCCTTTGGTAAACTAAACTGCATGTTTCATGTCTCATCCCCTTCCACTAGAAATTTAGAAATTTAGCCAGGAAGAGTACCTGAGGGAGGGAGGGAGGGAGGGAGAGAGAACTGTCTCCATCATGCAATCTCCTCCATCGGATTTATTTGGGT